GCCCGAGCTCCTGCTCTGGCAGCTGGTGCAGGAGCCTGGCCCCGCTGCGGGCCCCGTGGACGCGTGCGTCATGAAGCCCTCGGCCCGCCTGCCCGAGTCCCTCTACTCGCTGGTCTTGACCTACCAGAACGCCCGGACGTGGTGGTCCTTCGGCTGCTACTTCTGCCTGCCCGTCCTCTTCACGGTCACCTGCCAGCTGGTGACGTGGCGGGTGTGGGGCCCGCCCGGCAGAAAGCCGGAGTGCCGGCCGGGCCAGCAGGAGCGGCGCGAGGGCCAGCTCAGCGGCACCGTGGTGGGCCTGACCGCCGTCTACACCCTCTGCACCCTCCCCGAGAACGTGTGCAACGTCGTGGCCGCCTATCTCTCGGCCACGCTCACCCGCCAGACCCTGGACCTCCTGGGCCTGGTCGGCCAGTTCGCCACATTCGTCAAGGCGGCCGTCACGCCCGCACTGCTCCTGTGCGTGTGCCGGCCGCTGCGCCGCGCCTTCCTGGACTGCTGTTGCTGCTGCTGCGAGGGCTGCGGCGGGGCGGCAGCCACCGACAGCCCCGGCGCCAAGCTCCAGACGGGGCTGTCCACCTCTGTCCACTTCCACAAGCCCCGGGAGGCGCCACCGCTCCTGGCCCTGGGCACGCCCTGCTGAGGCTGGCCGGCCGTGACAGGGGGAGCTCTGTCCAGAGAGGGACTCGGCTCCCCTGGCTGGGGTCTGGGTATGTCGGAGGCCCCGGCCGAGCCCCTTCCGGCGGGCGGCCCGCCCGTCCTCTTGCTCGGGGGCGGTGATCCCCCAGGTCCTCAGAGCTGCCCAGAGACTCTCCATCCCACCGGCTGGGAGCCAGAACCTCACCTGGTCCCAGCCTCGCTCTCCCCTCTCCATCTGGAGCCCGACTACACTTTACTTTGCCCCTCTCGGCATCGCCCATCCTGGATGGGGGCCTGGGGGGCCAGCAACCGGGCTCTTCTCTGCATAGGACGGGCCCAGCCCTGGACGCCCCCTCCAGGTGCCGTCTCTTCTCCAGGAGCATTTCTGTCTCTGTCCTCCTCCTTCTCTGACGTACCCTGGTTGCCCGGTTCCCCCCCCCCCCCCCCCCCCCCCCGAGCAGAGGCTTCTTGGAAAACAATAAACTAGGTAGAGCTACCCCTGTGCCCACGGGCCTTTCTTGTGCCACATCCTGGCAGTGCCCAGATGCACCTGGGCTTTGCCCTCCTGGCCACCTTTGGCCCTTCCTGGCCTGGTGTCCTGTCCAGCCTGGGGCCCTGTGGCTTTGAGGGCAGAGTGGACGGAGGGCTTGGGAGCTGGGGCACTGTGTCCTCAGGCTGGCCTGAGCCCAGCCGTCCCTGGGAAGTAGAAGGCTGCAAACTTATCTCCCCGGGAGCCACCGCCGCTGTTCCTCCCTCCCCACAAAGCCCCCATTCGAGGGCAACTAGCAGCCTGGGGGGCTTCCAGCCTCTCTGAGAGCTGCCCTTGTTTGGCTTCTTAGAACAGACTGTTTAGCCTACAGACGGCCCAGCTGCCTGCCCCCCGCCCTCCCCACCCCACCCCCTTCCCGGCAGCCAGAGCTCCATCGACAGCCCCACAGAGCCTTCTTTCCTTTCTCTGGTACCCCCACCCCCCACGACAGGGGGCCCTTCCAGAGGCCCTTAGCCCCGCCCGGGCCCAGCGAAGTTGGCATGAGGTCAACCAAAGGGACACCTTGGCCTAGGCCACAGACCACTCCCCGCCCCGCAAGCCCACCCTTCCCGTCTGAAGCGCAGCTCGGGGTCCCGCGGAGCTCCTGCTGCCAGCTCTGCCTGGATCACCTGCGCAGGGCCTCCGGAGGGTCCCCAGGGCAGGGTCGGAGAGGCACAGGCATTGCCCGGTGCCCTGAGCTCCATTCTCGTCTGCCCACCCCACTCATACCCCCTGGCCTCAGCCCTGGAGCCAAGCCTCCTTCCCCCACTCCTGCGGATCTTAATGGCCTTGTTCTCTCCCCCTGGCACCCACCCCCAGGACGGGTGATGCCAAGAGAGAGGGAGGCTGTTGCTAGGCGATGGCGCTGCTGGCCGCACACTCTTTGTGCTGGAGAGACACCCACCCGTTTCTCGGACTACCGCTGCCACAGTGACCAAAGCCCCCAGCTCTGTCTGCAGCACCTTAAGACGGTGGGAGGAACAGGCTGGAGAGGAGACCAAGGGCAGGCTTGCGGTGCTGAGGTGACCGGGGCCATTCCCTCCGCATCCCTCCCCCTGACTCCCTCTCTCCCCGCACCCCAGCCCCAGTCCCAGATGCACCAGCAGCCTCCTATGGGATGGAGGAGGGGGCCCAGGGTGAAGGCGGGACGCGCAGGCGGAGCATGGGAGGCTGGGGGTGGGGGGGGGTCACCGCCGCATCCTGTTTGGGGTCTCTGCCACAGAGGGGCCCCTGCCCCTCCCTGCGGTTCCGAGGCCCTGCCACCACCGCTGCCCTGGGCCCGGCCAACGTGAGTGGCTTGCAGGATTAGTCAGCAGGCCAGCGGGCCTTGGGAAAGAGCCACTGTCTCTCCGGCTAGGCCAGCTGGGGGAACAATGTGGCATTTGTTGCCTAGGGGTCCTGGGCTTGGGGTGGGGGGGCAGCTGGCAGTGGTGGGCGGTGGACTTGAGCTGGGTCTTTAGGGGGCCAACCCTGAGCCCTGATGTCAGCCAGGTGGGAGGCGGGCCAACCCACTGAGCCCCCCTGACCCCGTCAGTATGTGCACCTTGCACTGAGAATTGCCTCCCTTGGGCCGGACTGGATGCAGTTACTGGACCCCAACAGTTAAACAGGAATAACCCACCCCCCCCC